AAGTATATCATTTATTGTGGGAGTGGAAGTTCCAGGATTGGTTTTACCTGAAGTTGGCAGTTTTCACTTGACTGTGCAGAGAAGCTGGGCATTACAGAGAATTATTCTTTGTTTTTATTTTTTAACTCCAAACTTCCTATTTTTTGGAAGATTGTCTTAAAATAAGGGTTGTTTTCCACTCAGGTAAATACAGTATACAAATGTTTTTATTGTTTCTGTAAATCACACTTTAAATATCATTGACAGACAATATAAAAATATTAAATGAAAGAATACTGTGTAGTTTAAAAAAATCATCATTTGAGACATTCAATATTCTTCTCCTCTGTTTTCAGTCTGAAAATGCCAGAACATGTTTCACAATTGCACATCCTCCCATTAAGTCAACCACAATCCATTAGATTTTTTTGTTGTTGGCTGTGTCTGCAAAACAGTAGTTCAACAAGTGTGCATTGGTAGCATGTTACATGAGGGGTGTGTGTGTGTGTGTGTCTCTCTCTCTCTCTCACACACACACAGAGAGAGAGAGGTGTATTCTCCCTAAAGTGCAATGCTAGCATGCCTCAATTTGTTGTTGTTTTTAAAATTTGCATCTTGTGTAGTTGGGTTATCTGATACCTCAGAGTTATTGACTAATTAGAATTGTTAATTTTATTGCTTTTGATTCAAAACTGACAAATATTTATTTATTTTACCAGTGATGTGAATTTGCATGCAGTTTACAGACTTATCATTCCCTTTATGTATCATTGCAGAAACAGGTTATGCTGTATTTTTAGTCATAGGTGGGTTGATACCCAAGCATAGAATAATAATGAAAAAGAACTGAAATCTGAAGACCACTGAAATATTAACTTCCTTCATGAACTGCTTTTTAAAAATATGTTACTTGCTAGCTGGCCATTCAGATTGAATGTAGATGTTGTGATGCACGTTAAATTTATCTTCAGTGGTGAGAACTGCAATCCTTAATAAAGTCAGCAGTTTTTTGCAGAATTAAGCCCTTCAGAATCAGTGGTCTTATATGCATCTAGCTTTTCATAGGACCAGATTATTACTAGAAAGTAAATTTTACTTAACTTGCTAAATTTAAATTTGAATAAATATACCTATGTTTTGCTGAACATCATATTTTGCTTTGATCCCTCAGGTCTTTCCACAGAGAGTCATTCTTGCTCTTATTTTAGTGAATTTACATTAATAAGTATAAGAAAGACAGACAAACAGCCCTGGTCAGTTCTATTAATCACAAGTCTTCAATGAGCATTTGCCCATTCAGTAATGCTTCGATGAGACATCAATAGGTTCAACAGTAGCTAGGTCACAAGGTTTGAATACGATATACAGAAGTAATCAGGAGTCTTTCTTTCAGTCTCACTAGTATTTGTTGTATTTTCTAATTTACGTATGTAACCAGTGTGCAGATTTTGGTTGTAAGCAGCCAAGGGATTGTTTATGTGTGCACTGATTTGCAGTACAGTGTAGTGTGTATGTCTGGCATATAACATGCTTGAAATGATTAAAAAAAAAAACTCTGAACAAAGAAAAGCATATTTATCTACTAATGGACAGGTCTTTTTAATGAAAAATCACTTATTTCATATATATTTAGGACAGTATTTGAAATAATTATCCTTTTGTATTTTACTTTCCAGATTACCAGACCTGTCGGGTAAATTTAGAAATGTTGAATGCATCTTTTTTTTAATTGTAATATTCATATGCCTTCCTTTCAGTCATGCTTCAATTCCTGTTCTAAGAAGTGTATATGTGTGTGTGTGTGTGTATCTGTGCATCTCTCTCTCTTTCTCCAAAACATGAATGGTTGAATTTTATCAGATAGTATTTTATTTTCTGGTTGTACACTATAGCTAAAAAATAAGGGAGATGAAGAAATAATTATTTGAAATTTTAAAGATGTTCTACAATTTAGATTATTTTCAATTTTAAGAAGAAATATAACCAGTGAAAAAGACTGATAATGGGAACAATGGTTTAGGGTATACTGTGAGCAGAGCAAACCTCAGTGCAGCTTTTAAAAAAGAAAGCAAATAGCAAACTGTGACACAGACTCCAGTTCATGCTTTGCAATGATCTCCTTCGAAACATGAACAATTCACAACAAGCCAGTCTCTCCAATGCATAACAGACAAAGGTTCTATTCAGATTTTAGCATGTTAGCTTTCCTCTGATGACCCGCTATTTTCTGCATTTGTTTTGACTGCTCCCATCATTCAGGGTTGATGCTTGGATGGGTGTGTAGGTGGAAGCAGCAGCGGCAGCAAGCTTAGAGCTTGCAGACAAAAACATTCTTGCCTTTTCTGATAGCTATTATTGAAAATGTGAGGTAGAGCCTAGGCTGGGTAATAAAGGCAGGCAAGCAAGGGGGAGCAAGGAGCATAGAGCTGCATACTGATGAGTGTAGGAGCACTTCATGAAAGATTCCTTGCTGCTAGCAGATCATTGCTCATTGTGGAGTATTTCAACAATCACATATAACGGAAAACAGCTTAGCTGACAGCTTGATATGTTTCCCCCCCACTGCATGACGTACTGGTCTGTAGTACAGATTAATGCAGATGAAATGTTCAGTTAGGAGCAGTTCTTACTCTATAGTCTGCCCCGGAAACTATGTGCTACTTCTGACTTTCGTATTTGCTGGAAGCATTAATTGGACAAGCTGGCAGGTTCCTTTGATACCAATTTTGCCCGGAACACGATGTGGCAATGCCACCTCTCAGCCCAGGACCATCGCTATTATCCTGTGGATGGATATTCACTGCTTAAACGCCTCCCTTCTCAAACTCTTTCAGCACCCAGATGCCCTATCCAGACTGTGGGACAATGGTTGGAAAATATTGGGCTACCTCAGTATGAAAACCACTTGCTGGCCAATGGATTTGACAATGTACAGTTTATGGTAAGTGATCTTTTCTGTGTTAATACTGTATGGTGGTTACTGAGTCTTTGCTTCCCAAGAGTCTGTACAGCATGAAGGGAGTCTATTTTACGATTTGCAGTGTTTAAAATATACATTTTACAAAATCCTATCCATTATCCGTATGAGCAAGGGGCATTCTCTTTGCTTCATACGTAATTTCTAAGCATTTTTAAATGAAAATGAAGGAATAATACTTCTGGACTATCCTTAGATAAAAACAATAATCCTTGCAATGATGAGAACAAGCATCCTTATAGGGAACAGATTAAATATTATTACAAAGGTTTGATATTCATTAAGATTAAATAATTCCAGCTTGAATTCTGCATGTTCTAACAAAGAAGTGCTGAATTTTGAGCTTTAAAAAATAACAATTTTCTCAATGTTTGGAAATAAATGGCTGTTCCTTTAAATAGTAACCTAAAACCATTTTGCTGGTAAAGAGTTAACATGCCACCAGACATGAACATGATAGGTATCTTTGGTATGTAGTGTATACATTTCAGAACCATGAAAGCTTCTTATAAACATAAATATGAGCAAAAGATAAGGTTGGTTATTAAAAAAAAACAAAAAACCAGTTCCAAATAGATAAAATTTATAGTCTGTGTGTATGTGTGTGTGTGTGTGTGTGTTTTCCAATACAGATGTAATAGTACCGCATCTGTTGCTTAGAATCTATTCTGTTTCACTGTCTTCCCATTTTTTTCTGCAGTATTGTTATAATGTAATATACATAGAAAGCTTGTGTATTTTACATGAAATTGAATCATGTAGTTATATGTGTAGAAATTTTCTAAATATTACCTTCTTTTTAAAATGGTTAAATAGGACTTTTTTTTTTATTACATGACTATTTTTGCTTCATTGAATACAAAAATTTAACATTTCAAGCAGATTAACCTATTCAAATCTAATTGTAGCACTACCTAAATTTGGGCATTGTATCTTTTATTCAAGCTTCCATAGTCATAAAAAATTGAAATCAATAATATATATGGAAATAAACATCACAGTGCAGTAGTCAAAGTTCCAATGGGATGTAATTCTTAAGTAGACAAGTATCCATGTGATAAAAGTACTAATGTGTACTTGCGGAGGCTTAAAATACAGTTTGTAGAACAATATAAACTGATAATCTAGGATAATGATTGATTGGACTCCATGGAAAGTCATGAATGGGCTTAGGGTGAGAGTCTTTGTCTTTCAGTTATGTATCTACCCATTTATGTAAAATATTTTATAAACAAGCACAAGATGTCAAAAGTTATTCAAAATGTATATGTGCTTAAGTTATTTCCAGACATTTGTATTATAACTAGGTTCATGATGAATAGCACATTTTCATTTACTAGAAGAGATACGGATGGAATGTTATAATATTAATAAAATGAATATCACAACTGACAAAAGTGAAGTTGTATACATGCAACTTCACAAAAAGTATAACTGTGTTTGTGTGTGTGTGTGCGCGCGCGTGCATGTGTATAAACACTGTTATACTTTTTGTTGAAAGACCAAGCAATATCCTTCACTTTTTAATCAAATGATGTTAAATTCTTTATACATTCTTCAGTTATAAACAATTAATTCCTTTATGCTAAGATACCCCAAAAAATGTAATCTTAAATCTTAAGGAATATATACCCACACCTACACCCACACCCACACCCATACACCCACACCCTAAGAGGTGCTATATAACTAAAAGGGAGATCAGCTTTACCATAGTAAATGTAGTTTTTTGGCATTAACTAACTTTCATTTTCAACATTTTGTGCAGTGTAGTTTTATACATGTATATCGGGATCAAGTTAAATGTGATGTAGTGCCAAGTAAGTATGTATAAAATTGCCTATTAAGGCTACAATTCTGTGTTCACCAACCCCACTGAACATGAGGAGATTTAATTCTGAATAGACATCAGGGGAACTGCACTATTCGTTGATTTATTTAGACGAATCTCATCAATGGGGTATTAAGCCAAATATAGTATTTATTAATATGACCGTTCTAATAATATTATATCAAGACAAACAATATAGTTTTAATATATTTGTTATTTTTAAATATGGATTTCTGCTGTTGTTTTCCTAGAAATACATTCTGGTGCTTATTTGTTTTCCTGTTACCTAAGCAACATAATCTCATGTCTGTTTAAAATTAGTATTACTGTATTGTTTTTCTAGAGCTACCCTTGCCTTGGGAGCAAGCTGTTCTGGAAGAGGATAGCCCTGACAGAGAATGTCCACTTTTGGACCCCCTCATGTCACACCTTACAATAGCTGGGGACCTTCAGTAGGCACTCTCTGTGTCTTCAGGTTGGGTGGGTAGAATCTATATTAGATGGGTGGTCTTGAAGATATCCAGGCCCTGAGACATACATATGGATTTAGAGGTAATAACCAGAATCATGAATTGCACTTGAAAACATATAGTTAGCCAGTGCAGCTTCTGCAGCAATGGTATCATATAGCAGAAACAAGACTCCTGTATCTTTTAAAATAAAATTTTAATATACAGTTGATGAAAGGACATGGATGATAGCAACAATTTAACTATGTAATGATTAATGTGCTATTTATCTAAGACAGTTGGAAGACATATTCTGGCAATTAGGATATTTCACTTAATTTCATATTAAAGTATAAATGATTTGGTATAATTGTTTTAATTCTTAAAATCTAATATAGCCTTTATAGACGCTCAGACAAAGTAGTATAGGATATCTGACTGGAACAACATTTGAACTCTGAAAATGTAAGATTAATACCTTTGCATATTTGGATAACAACTTTGCATCAAAACCTGGACAGTACTTAACAGAATACTATTCTCTGTTTAGAGTATCCTAAACAAGGGGGCTTGTTCCAGTTAATCTTGGGCCTGCCACATGTAGTCAGACATACTGTGAACTTCATCTTTGCTTTGAAGTAGTTGCATAGTGATCTGGAAAGCATTACAGCTAATCCTTTGCCATGATCAAAATCACTTTGTGGTCCAGATAACTGCCACCCATGACCTCCATGGGGTGAGTAAACTAGTTAGGATAGTCTGCACCAATGTCTCTTGATTCCAGATGGATTCCTGATGTTCTTTGGAATGGTTCCATTGATTGCCTGCTGGCAAATCTCTCCCAAGTAGCATCTCTCTGTATGCCAAACCTGGAGGGTTTATTGATTTATTGAGGAGCTTCAGGAGATGAAGTGGCAGAAGCAACATCTGGAAAGCAATGGAGAAAGATGAGAATCACAAGTACAAGCACATTTCAACCTTACACTGTGGTAATAAGAAGCACCATCACTTCTCTATTATTGCATAGCCAAGCTGCCAGGCAGCAGGTTTGTTTAGAAGTTTCAATTGCTTTTTGGGAAGGAGGCATCAAACAGAACTCCTGGCTGGCTCCAAATCTCTTGATTTGTGGGTGGTGCCCAATGTGGTGACTAGGATAGCATCTTACCATGTTACTTGGAATTTGTTTTGGCCTGTGGACTCTCTGGTATGTCCTCAGCGACTTGTGACTTGGATCCATGCTCTCTGCACTCCTTCAGGGTGTCAGGGGTGTATGATGGGCTGGCTCCAGGGGATTACTAATGCCACAGTTTGGGATGGGGTGGTACCTGCAGCTTTGAAAGGAAATGTTGTATGCCCCTTCTTAGGAAGTCATACCTAGACCCAGACATTCTTGATTATTATTGCTCTGTCTCTAACCCTTCCTTTTGGGGGGAAGATTATTAAGACTGTGGTTTCAGGGCAGCTATGGAGCATGTTAGATGAAGCAGATTATCTGGACCTTTAGTCAGGGTTCAGCCAGAGAATGAGTGTTATTTGTTCTTGTAGACAATCTTTGTCAGGTCTTGAATGGAAGCTTGTAGTAGTACCACTTATTTTGTTGAATAACTTCCTCATAGAAGTTAGGTTGACCCCTACTGTCCTAGTCATCTGGAAATTTCTGAAAACTGAGTTGTTCTGGAAGGCCTATGGTGAACGTTAGGCCAGACAGTTTGATTGATTTTATGATGTTTATGGTTTTTAAAAAATATATTTTAGTTCCTATTGTGGATGTTTTATTTAAATGCTTTCATTACTCATAATTATTGTAAACTTCCGAGACTCTCACAATTGTGATAGGTATAAATGTGATGAAATAAATATGCAAAAAATTGAGCAACTGCTATTTAATGTGCAAGATATTGAGCGTTCTGTTTCCATCAGAAATAATTTCCTCTCAAAACCTCTAGAACCTATTATACGTACACTTATAAAATCTCACAAATCATAAGCAAAGTTTCCGTAGTCGAACTACATTACCTTGATGTTATTTAACTCAAAAGATATTTATTAAATATACAGCATTCAATATTATATTAGAAAGGAAAATAGGAACCTGTATTGTTCTATTCCTTTGCCCTTTTCAGCCAATCATTATGGGAAGAATTAAGTTTAAAGGAAATCCAGTCCCTCATCCAAATGATCACTTTGGGGATGTTCAAACACCTAATGAAATGGCTCCACTATGGCTGTACTAATCTAAGATTAGATTAGAATTTTAAGATGCCACAAGTCTTATTATTGTCTTTTTAAGAAGCTAGATTCAGAGACAATGAGCCAAAGTAATTTCAGAAAGAGAAGATGTGCTTTTACTTTGGTAGGAACAGACCATCCGGAGGAAGGAAATCTGGCACACAGACAACGTATCGTTTCATCCAATTTTTCTTTCCCTCCTTGTTTAGCATTCCACCCCCCTCCCAAAAAGGATTAACTTTTCTTTCATACCACAAATGATCATTGTGAGAATGGAACTAGGGTCATAAACAATATATCTAAGTGAAATACAGTTGCTAAACAGTTCTAATCCCAGCACAGACTAGGAGCAGGAAGGCCGTGGCTTGAGTGGTCCAAAAGTTTTCATACCCAAATCCTTGGGTTGGCCAAGCAGAAAACATATGTGATATTCTCAAGAGTCATGAAGAAAAACA